TGGAACAAATGATTCAAGGAACAGAGATTTAAATCACCAAAATCAAACTGGCTGCATTGGGGCATATAGTCTGAAAAATCTGCACAGTTTCAAGTTTGAAGCTGCTTCCTGTTGGCTTCAGCTGTTTGGAATTTCCATTTTCTAAACTTTTACATTCTCAACCTTCTTCAGCTCTGAACAGATTATGAAACACTGAATGATTTCAAGCACACACTTTGTCGAATAAACTTACATCTTTCATTCTTTATACAGATTGTGGAGCTGTGGTTTGTCAAAGATCAGCTGTGATTATCTGGCAGCAGCTCTGAAGTCCAACCCTTCCCATCTGAGAATGATGGACCTGGCTGGAAATAACATGCAGAATCCAGATGTTAAGCAGCTGTGTGATCTTGAGGAGAGTCCAGACTACAGACTGGAGACTCTGAGGTCGGTACAGTGTTGGAATGAGTGGGTGGTGCTGACAGCAGTGTTGTACTAAACACAATCAATACGAAACAAAGATCCAGTGTTTCCTGTAAAGCTGCAGCTTCTCAGTGAAGCTGTTAGAAGAGAATGGTAACAGGCTTCAGGATTGGACACAAACACTTCCTGTTTCTACCTTTTTGCGACCTGTATGGTTACCATAGTAACAGCTCACATGCTCTCATCAAACACTGTCAGCAGCCAATCAGCTCTCTCAACAAAGCAGCGTGCAGACCAATGACTGCAATTATTTCCATGTTTCAAGCAGTCTGCATCAAAAGGACAAAGGTCACTCATTTGAGGATGACAATGTTCACATTTTGGACAGAGAAGACAGATGGTTTTAAAGAGGAGTGTAAGAAACCATCTATGTCCGCTGTGAACGGTCTTTGAACGGAGGTGGTGGCTTACGACACCAACTGTCGGCCATCTGTAATCCAGTTTTGAGATCCCTTCCCAGACTCCTTAACGCCCACTCACATCCTGGGCCTTTTGACCTCAATAAATCACATGATGGGGTGGGGCTAGGTTGCACAATTAGTTTACCCAAAACCCACACCTGTTTTCACACCTTGTCTCGTGTGATTAGGAAGAGGATCTATATGGAGTCCGTGTCCCCTTTGGGGACACGCGCATAGGGCTAAATCTGGGACTCTCCACCATTTGACCCTAGAACTGAAAAAGCTTCTCAGATGAGAGGTGAAACATCTTCAAGCAACTTAAAGAAGTCCAGACGCTTTTCTTTCCAAGCTCTTTAGACTATGATGACTTGGATGACTGAGAACCTTCACAGACAACACAGTCTGTAGGTGAGGAAGAATTTAGTGAGACCAGATAACTGGAATTCCTCCAGTTAACAGCTGGGACCGTCCATCTGGATTGTTGGGTTGTTGTTGGGGTTCCTAAAGAGCTCAGAGTGGACAGACCAAGGCTATTCTAATTAATGAAAGTCCAAAATAAACTAGGAGTGAAAAACATTTTCATCAACTTAAATAAAAATCCAAAGTACAGATTAGAAAAAGTAAAACGAGTACTAGTACAGTCTCAGCACTGAAGGCCCTGCTGCTCTTTATACTGGATGTGCTGCATCACTGATTGACAGCTGATGAAGAGTCTCTGGAAACACTCGTTTATCGCCTCTGCTCTTCCTTCTTCTCTCTGCAGGTGGAGGTGATGAGGGTAAACAGGACGATGTGCGTGCTGAGAGAGGATGAGCTGTGTACTGATGATCCAGAGAGGTTGAAGCAGGAGCAGCTTGTGTGTAGAGACGCTCTGAGTGTGCCATGTTACTGTGAGGTGGAGTGGAGAGGAGAGCTTCATCTAGCAGTGACTGACAGATGCATGAGAAGAAGTGCAGATGACTGTCAGTGCTGCAGAGTGAACTGCTCTGAGAACCGCTCCACTGTCAGACACAATGTAGAGTCCAGCATCATCCTTGTGTGTCCCTCTGGATCTGACAGAGGATCATCAGTGTATCTGGACTCCTCTGCTGCTGCTCTGTCCTTCTATAGTCTCTGCACAGTCTCTGTCTGACTTTGGCTTCAGACCCTCCTGGATCAAACTGACCTGGAAAGGCTTTCCATTATGAATAATAAACATAATGTTTTTAAAGGATAAATATCATGTTTTCATCTATGTGTGCAGTTTGAGCCTCAGTGGATGAATCCGTGCTTAATCATCATCATCATCATTTATTTATACAGCACTTTAAAAAAACACCTCATAGACCAAAGTGCTGTACAATACAAATATGCATATAGTAATAAGATAGCAGAAACTAGACATAGCAATAAAATTAATAAAAAAAAATATAAGTTACCCACATAGTTAAAAGCCAGGGAATAAAAATAGGTTTTTGTGTCAAATGCAGCGGTCATGTCCAACAAGACCAGCACTTCATATTTACCAGGGTCTGCCGCTATCAAGATGTCATTCAAAACTTTTACGAGGGCGGTCTCCGTACTGTGAAATGGCTTAAAGCCGGACTGAAGGATGTTTGACAAATTAGAGTCATTCAAGTAGTCCATCAACTGAGTATAAACAATCCTTTCCAGAATCTTACTAAGAAAGGGAAGCTTAGAGATGGGTCTAAAATTTGATATGACTGAATTGTCTAAGCCTGGTTTCTTAAGTAAAGGATATATGACTGCATGCTTAAATTCCCTAGGTACTTGACCAGTCAAAAGACTAGTATTAATAATGTTCAGAATGTGTGGCCTGATGGTAGGAAATACCTTTTTAAGAAAACAGGGAGGAACAACGTCATTTGGAGAGCCACATGGTTTACCATTCAATACAAGTTTCTCTAAATCAGATAAAACAATTGGTAGAAAAGCAGAGAACAAACTTGAGCAAGAACCATGCATGGCTGGGTCAGCAATAGGTAGAGTCAGAGGTCTCAAACTAGCAACCTTGTTCACAAAATAATTAAGAAACTTATTGCACATAACCGCAGAATCGTGTAAAAGAATATAGCCTTCCGTATTAAGTACAGAATTTATAGTGTTATATACAACACGAGGGTTATGCGAGCTGGCAGCAATAAGAAAAATAATGTTTAATGTGGACACTAATGATCAATAAATTTCCTGAATGGAATCAAAGGAATGATTCAGACTAATTTGTTCCTGCTTTTCTCTCATGTTGATCTGATCCAGACCTCCAACTTCTGCCCTCCACCTCACATTAGTCACCCAGCACAGCAGCTTTAACGTACTTAGAGTACAGAACAAGACTTTTTACTGCATTCAGGGAATACAGATGACTGAGCACAACCAACACAGTAAAAGTAGCACAGAAACACACAAAGGGAGGAAGAGAAGGAAGACTTCTCTTTATTCTTCCTGCCATCATTAATGAAGTTTAGCTGACAGACACATCTTGGACAGGGAGGAACGCTGGTTTGAGTGCGGAGTCAAGGAGACCATTTACGTGAAGAAGGAAAGACCATCTCTTAATCGAGGAGGGGGCCTAAGGGTACCCAAAGGGACTTACTTACTGATGTAAGTAAGTCCCTTCGTCTAGCTACACCAGTTTTGAAATCTGTTTGTGTAAACTGGGCCACTTGCCTTCATCGTTATGTGCGATTGTTTATCGGCCCCCGAAATATCTCGGAATTCCTTGCTGACTGTGCATCATGGTATGACCAGATCCTCCTGCTTGGTGATTTTAACATACACGTTTGCTGTCCAGGGAAGCCCCTGGCCAAGGACGTCCTTGCCTTAGTGAACTCTAATTTTGTCCAATCTGTTAGTGGTGCCACTCAACAACGTGGTCACAAACTGGACTTAGTTTTATCTTATGGTTTATCTGTTTGCAATGTACGTGTTGAAGATGCAGTATTCTCTGATCATATGCCTATCTTATTTGATATTGCTCCTTCTAACGCTTTTACAAATCAGGCTGCACCTGTTCGATGTTATCGTGCCTTTGGCTCTGCTTCGGCCGAACGGTTTTCTATACTGTTTGACAAATTATTGTCTTATGCCCCTGAGTTGCCACTGCAGATGACCTATTTTTGTATTTTGACTTTGCTTGAGGCTATGTGCAATAAGTTTAGTACCTTTTTGTGGACAAAATTGCTAGCCTGAGGCCTCCGATCCCATCTATTGTTGATCCAGCCATGCATGCTCCTTGATCAAGACTGTTCTCTGCCTTTGCACCGATTTCTCTGCGTGATTTACTACTGATCTACTGATTCTCCAGAAAATAAGAAAAGAAAATAAGAAAATAAATATACACTTTAGGACCAGAGGTAAAGGGATCAATAACAAATCAAAATGTATATTTTACAGCTTGATTATTTAGAGTCTAACACACAACCTGTCAAAAGGGGAGGGGAGCCGGCTGCTTCCAAATAGAGCACATTTCATTCATAA